CTTCCCAGCCCCTATGAGTACATTTCTTATCAAGCATTGTAGCCTTTGTTTCCTCTTCCCATCCCACCCCCCCCTCCTCCCCCTCAGTGAATTCTTAAGCCAAGGTTGGAGCTTCCTGGCATAGGGACAGAGACTCCTGTCCTTCCATGGTGCTGAACTTTGCCTTTTTCAGGACTCTACGAGACACCCTTAGTGACTGGGACCCTGAGACCCTGGCTTTCCTGCTGAGGGAGGAGTTACAGGCCTACAAGGCAGTTAAGGCTGACACCGGACAGGAACGCTTCAATGTCATCTGTGACCTGCTGGAGCTGAGCTCTGAGGAGACATCAGCCGGGGCATGGGCTCGAGCCACTCACTTGGTGGAATTGGCTCAAGTGCTCTGCTACCACGACTTTGCCCAGCAGGCTGATTGGTGAGGAGGAAGTAGGGGAGGCTGAGCTTACTTCTGGCCTTAATCTGTTTTTTCTTTTCTTTTTTTGTCTTGGAGCTTGAACAGCCTGGGTGCTATCAGCTTTATTTTTTGCCAGTCCTGGGGTTTGAACTCAGGACATGGGCTCTGTCTTTGAGCTTCTTCTGCTCAAGGCTAGCACTCTACCACTTGAATCACAGTACCACTTCTGGCTTTTTCTGTTTATATGGTACTGAGGAATCAAGGCCAGGGCTTCATGCATGCTAGGCAAGCACTCTACCACTAAGCCACATTCCCAGCCCCTGTCCCTGAGCATTTTTTGTTCAATGCTTTATCACTTTGAGCCACAACTCCACTTCCTGTTTTCTGGTGGTTAATTGGAGATAAGAGTCTCATGGAAAACAAACAAACAAACAAAAATACCTCATGAAGTTTCCTGCCCAGTCTGGCTTTGAACCCTGATCCTCAGATCTGAGCCTCCTTAGGATTATAGGCTTTAGCCACCAGTGCCTGGCTCCTTGTCTTAATCTTAATTCTTTTTTTTTTGGCAGTTGTGGGGCCTGAACTCTGGGCCTGGGAACTGTCCCTGAGCTCTTCAGCTCAAGGCTAGTGCTCTACCAATTGAGCCACAGTGCCACTTCTGGCTTTTTCTGCTTATGTGGTGCTGAGGAATTGAGCCTCTTGCATGCATAGGCAAGTACTCTACCACTGAGTCACCTTCCCAGCCCCAATCTTAATTCTTTTCAGAGTGGGATTCCTGCTTTATGTTGCTGAGGACCCACTTAATTTCATGGCCTTAGAACTCATTCAAATGAGATTAGCTATCTTGTACCAGTTCCCACAGACCCATGCCTGGTACTTATAGTGAGCCTCACCTACGTGTACCTCTCCCTACAGTTCTGCCCTTGATGCTATCCAAGAAGCCCTGCAGCTTCTGGAGTCTGTGCAGCCTGAGGCTCAGGCCCAGGATCAGCTTCTGGATGATAAAGCCCAGGCCTTGCTGTGGTTCTACATCTGTACCTTGGAAGCCAAAATGCGGGAAGTGAGTAATGGTATTGAGCAGAACTGGGTGGGTATAGCAGTCATTTTCACTGGGCTGGCACTACTAAGCTGGTGCCTTGATTTTTACCTTCATCTCTCCATCCAGGGTATTGAACGGGATCAGAGAGCCCAAGCCCCTAGTAACTTGGAAGAATTTGAAGTCAATGACCTGAACTATGAAGATAAACTGCAGGAAGATCGTTTCCTATACAGTAACATTGCCTTCAACTTGGCTGCAGATGCAGGTAAGGACAATAAGCGTAGCATAGCATGGGCGTTTCTGGTTTCTCAAGAGCAGAACAAGGATCACTGGGATGGGAGAAGCTGAGAGATGGGTGATAGAGGGGTGGAGGGAGATGGGAGGGGGGCTGGCAAAAGAGCAGAGGATCTTATACAGAAAGTAGCATGTTTTCCAGATGGCCCATTTGGAGAGGGAGAGAATGGTCACTTTATTTTTTCTTTTTGGAGCCAGTACTGGGGCTTGCACTCAGGGACTAGATGCTGGTCCTCAGCTTTTTTGCTCAGGGCTAGCTCTCCATCATTTGAGCTACAGCTCCGCTTCTATCTTTTTGTGGATTTCTGGAGATAAAAATCTTACAGACTTCCCTACCCAGGCTGGTTTTGAACTATGATCCTCAGATCTCAGCCTCCTGAAGAGAATGGTCACTTTCTTCTGACTTCCAGCTCAATCCAGATTCCTGGACCAAGCCTTGGCCCTTTGGAAGAAGGTGCTTACAAAGGAGCCATCTCTAGCTGTGCGGTCTCTCCAGCAGACAACAGTCTCTCTCCAGATCCTAGTGGCCCTCTATCAGCTGGTGGCAAAGGTAATAGGGCAGGGCACTAATAGAAAAAGTCCATACAAGAATGCAGCCCAAAACAGCTCCCTCATCCTTGGCCTGTGAATCTTCTGATATGCTACAGAACCCAACCATTAAGAGCCTCGGCTCAGCCAGAAATGGTGGTGCACTTCTGACAGGGTCTCATTAAGTTGCCTAAGCTGACCTGGAACTTTGTTCTTCCTCTCTCAAAGTTAAAATTAAGGGCTGGGAATGTGGCTTAGTGGTAGAGTGCTTGTCTAGCATGCATGAAGTCCTGGATTCGATTCCTTAGTACTACATACACAGAAAAAGCTAGAAGTGGCATTATGGCTCAAGTGGTACGGTGCTAGCTTTGAGCAAAAAGAAGCTCAAGGATAGTACCCAGGCCCAGGGTTCAAGCCCCAGGACTGGCAAAAATAAATAAAAGGCTGAGGCAGACATCAATGGCTCTTGTCTGTAATCCTGGCTATTCAGGAGGCTGAGATCTAAAGATCAAGGTTTGAAGCCAGCCCGGGCAGAAAAATTGTGAGACTCTTATCTCTAATTAACAACCAAAAAAGCCAGGAGTAGAACTGGGGTTCAAGTGGTAGAGATATAGCCTTGAGCAAAAGAAGCTCAGCGACAGTGCTCTAAGCTCAAGCCCAAGGACCAGCACACACACAAAAAGAAAAACGCTGAGGATGTAGATCAGTGATAGAGTTCTTGCCTAGCATGCATGAGTATCTTTATCAACTCCCAGAAAAGAAAAAGAAAGGAAGCTAGCTCCCCTCTCTCCCCAAAGGAATGTATATAAAGGAATTTTGTTGCTATGAACCTTTGGGTAATCTGAAGGAGGTTAGGAAGCTACCACAGCCATAGATTTAAGGCTTTGTTCTATTTACTTGCATGTTACATAAAGTTAGATAAGCATTGTGAACCTTAGTTTCCTCTGCTATAAAACTGGAATTAGAGTTGTTTGAAAATAAAATGAGGGCTGCCTTGCATGCATGAGGCTGTGGGGTCGATTCCTCAGCACTACATAAACAGAAAAAGCTGGAAGTGGTGCTGTTGCTCAAGTGGCAGAAGACTAGCTTAGAGCTGAAGAGCTGAGGGACAGCACCCAGGCCCAGAGTTCAAGCCCCATGACAGACATAAATAAATAAGTTGGTACATAAAGCCTCTGGTCTCATACCTGATGCATAGTAACCTCCTAATAAGTCTTGGCATCTATATAGTCTTTAAAGCAGAGTTGGACAGGATGCTTTTGCAGACTCTGAAGATAGCTGATGGCTTATATATTCTATAAATGCCCTAGGGTCAGACCACAATTCAAGGTCCCAGAGGACTGGGGACAGAGGGTGGGATTGGAGGCTTGCAAGATGGACACAGGAATGGGTTAGCTTGCTGCTTCTGGCCTTCTAGCCCTTGCAGGCTTTGGAGGCCCTGCTGCTTCTGCGGATTGTTGCTGAGAGACTAGAGGACCACACGAAAGCAACAAGCTACTCCTGCCATCTCACCAAACTCCTCCTGAGCCTCGGCTGCCCCAGCTACGCCCAGGTGAGTGTTAGTTGTCCAAGCCTGTGGGCTGCAGAAGGGCTTGTGGTTTTAGAGGCTTAGTTTTTCCCCCAAGACAAACTCAAGTGACAAGCTTTCCCTGGACTGCAGTGCTACAGTGAGTGAGGGTGGACATGACTGTGGGAACTCCTTTTGAGCTATTGGATGGAAGATTCTTCTTGCTCTGAGTCAGCTTTGTCTTTCTAGAATGAAAGTTAAATGAGCATTCTAGTCAGTGAATAGGTTCTATGTAATTATAATATTTGAAATGATTCAACGTGTACTTGGCCATTTTGTTCAACGGAATGTCTAGCATGTTGCTTGTGAATGCTTTATTCTGCCTTAATTTGAAGAGTCTGGTTGTCTTTCCTAACTAGCCTGCTCACACATCCTCTGACTGCTTTCTTAGTTATACCTGGAAGAGGCAAAATCAAGCCTGAAGCTTGTCAGTCACACTGCTGACCTGTATCCACTCCTTTCCTTGACTTGTGATCTACTTCAGAGTCATCTCTGCTGGATGCACCAGGAGGTATTTCTTACCTTTTTTAAAAATAATTTTTTATTGTTATTACAAAGGCAATGTACAGACAGCTTATAGTTATATAGATCAGGTAAAGTTTACTTATTTTTTATTATTTTTTTTGGGGGGGGGTCCAGTTGTGGGGCCTGAACGCTGGGCCTGGGCGCTGTCCCTCAGCTCTTCAGCTCAAGGCTAGCGCTCTACCACTTGAGCCACAG